CTGACGCAAGATTTCCAACCAACCGGTACTCACTCGAAAGAAATATGACTCTCTTTGGCAGGACTCGACATGACTGAAGCCAGCAAAAGGAGGGCACACATCGACCAGCCGGGTAATCGCATTCAGTATGGAGGCATGTAGATTAAAGCAACTGCTCTCGACGGGAAAACCGCCTAAATTTTCATAAAGCACACTTCCTTTGGAGAAAACTCCCAGTCCTTAAACTTAAAAGTTCAACAGGTCAAGCTGTTGCACAAGAGCAGGACGCAAGTGCAACCACTCAACGGCACCGCACTCCTCCGTGGTATGCCGCCCCTTGGATTACACCCCAATCACAGAGCTCCGAACACCTCTGAATGCAATTTGATTGGCTGGCAGACAAGTAGAACTCCACAGAGGAGCTCCTTACCCCCTCCTGGTGAACCTGGACGCGTCATGCCAAGGTCCTGCCTCCAAGACTCCACCTTCAGGTGAGAGGGGCTCAGAAAGGCACAGCAGTTAAAAGGAAACGGCAGAACTGTATAGTATAGTAAACACAATATGAAGTGATAAAGGACAGATTAAGAAGGAATAACAAACCTAGTCCTCTGGAGGCAACATCTGTGGCAATGAGGATGGGCGCTTTGCCGTATTTGAATTCTGTTGAGGTAGGAAAGAGTCAAATTGTGCGAATTAACCAAACCGGCATCGATGAGCTAAGACCTTCAAGGCGAACACATACCATTGAGCACCCAGTCTCTTTCCTGCTGACTCTTGTCTCCATGGATGCCCATTGCTGGCCACCTGCAACAGGAAAAGCCAATGAAATGCCTCCATTTCAGACGCAAACAAAGCAATCATGACACAGCGAAGCAAAGTAGGTCATCTTACCCATCCCTACGCATCCTCCTGGTGAGATCGTCACACCTTCTCTTGGTCTCCACAAAAATAATGGTCTTGTTCTCCTTCTACAGGTTTGTCGTCACGCATTCCCTCTCACAACCATCAAAACCAAACTTTCAATGTTCCCAGCACTCACTTGTCTTCCTTTTCGCCATCATTGCAAACGTCGACAATCTGTAGGATGTTGTGGTTGGCGCTGAGCTGCAGAGCACCGACGTTGATCTGTACATAGTCCTTCAGGAAGTCCTCAGCCAGCTGCCTCACCTCTTTGGGCCACGTAGCACTCCACATAAGAGTCTGTCGGTCTGGCTACAGGAGAAAATTGATTAAAAAAAAGTTAACATCTTTTGAAATAAGCAGCCGATACGAGTTGCTTAAGTCATCTAAAACAATGCGTACTCTAATTTGGTCCACGATTTTTCGAATCTGAGGTTCAAATCCCATGTCAAGCATCCGGTCAGCTTCGTCAAGCACAAGATACGTGCATCTGCGCAGATTTGTCTTTCCAACTTCAAGGAAATCGATAAGTCTTCCGGGTGTGGCGATACAGATCTCGACACCTGACAACAACAATGGAAAAGTTAGACATTTACCACCCACTATAAAAGCACTCCAAAGAGATTCAAGCTCTGTTCCACTCGTACCCCTTTCCAGGTCCCGGATCTGTGGTCCTTTGGGAGCGCCTCCGTAAATGCAGGTGGACTTGAGACGAGAAGCTTTGCCGTACTCTGCCGCCACCTGCTGGACCTGCTGCGCCAATTCACGGGTGGGAGCCAACACCAAGCACTAAAGCGATAAAAACATCTGATTAAAACACTGACTTTAAGACCGATTGAAACTTATACTTGACAGGTTGCTGAACTTACAATGGGACCGTCGCCACGCTCCAGGAATGGTTGGTGGTTTATGTGAACAATACCAGGAAGCAGATACTGTAGAAAGAGGAGATTCATTATAACCAGTTCAAATGAGTCAAAGCCAGATAATTTGTATCAGGATGGTTTAAAAGCATCATACCGAGAGTGTTTTTCCAGAGCCGGTCTGTGCAATGCCAACCATATCTTTGCCACTCAGTGCAACTGGCCACCCCTGAGCCTGGATAGGAGTTGGATCAGTCCAGTTCTGTTTACCGATCACATCCATCACATAGTCTACAAAACAGAACAAACGGTTAGTTTAACCTCGCAAAACTCTATATTCAAAATTTTAAAACGTATGAACTTACTTGGAAAGTTTGCTTCATGGAACTTAACAATGGGTTTGGGAGAGTCTCGACCCTTCACTGTGATCTCCTTGGTTCTTCTGTAGTGTTCAACATCTTGCTGTAATACAAAAGACATCACATCTTTAAAAACTCTAAAAGACAAGCAAAAAAAACAAACACCACATGCACACACAACTGCATTGCGAATTTACTTACAGTTGACCTCCGAGAAACTTCAGGATGCTCCTGGTAGAAGTTCTTCTCAAATTTGGGGAGCTCGTCCAGGTTCCAGTGCTTTTTCCGCAGACGATCACCAGGATTCCCAAACTTCTTGCCCGGAGGAGGTCCTCCTCTGCTGCCTCCAAAACGTGGAGGACCACTGCTGTAACTATTAGTAGAAAAAGGAGACATTTTAGAACAGTTGAGGCTCAATGACAAATTAATTGGCCAGCTCATCGGTGTATACAGATCAAAAGTACCATAGAATATCTATCTGCAGTGCCATGGTACTAATATGGCACTTCAAGTGTGGTTCACATCATTTTCGTGTTTTGGTAAACCCCCCAAAAAACTAAGTGGTTATGTGTAGTACACTACCAAACCAAAAAGATGGCAGCAACATAGTACAGTAACGTGTCAGATGGCATTGTCATGACACTTTAGATATAACTTACACACCATACAGCTGTGTCGCATATTATATGGTATACCATGATAACACGTATGTATGCATGTATAAATAAATAATCGGAACACGTACTTTTGTACCTATCCTCAAACAAAACAACAAAAGGTCAGTTAAGCAAAACTTAAAAGGCCCGAATAATATATGACAAAAGCTCAGGTTTCGATTCACATCGTGAGTTCTTGTCTGCGCCACGTTTTAACGTCGCTGCCATTTTATTTCCTACCGACAGGAGACAAAGAGGAAAAAAACCGGCCGGCATTTTACAACATCACGGTCACATGGTCCGACGAGGCCTTAAAACGATATAAATCCACGATATTTATGTTGAATTGCAATTAAACATGCTTTTTTCGACATTTACGATGCATTTTACACGTTGAAATAACAGAAACTCTTTTTCTGTCGTGATTTCTGTCGTGTAAACGGATACGTAACGTTAACGTTAACGTTACCTACTCTTCCGCCTAATACGCCCGATTGGATTCAACCACACAACAAAAACGATGGTGAAATGATTTGATCCATCCGTGAAAACAATCGATCAACGGCCACATAATTACGAAATTCGCGTCGATTAATATTTTAAATTATCACAAATGTTTCATCGAAAACACAACAACCCATCTTACCCTCTGTCACGACCGCGGTCTCTGTCTGAATATCCAGGCATATTGTAATCTGAGATTATAAATTAAAATTTAAATAATCGGACGCTTTTTTCCCTCCAGTACCGCGCAGTGATGGTGCTCGTGAACGCCGCTCACAGCGTGAACTCGCCGGGTTTTATAGGAACACGAAGTCACTTCCGGAAAATCGTTGACGTCTTTCTGACGTACGGCGCCGCGCGCGTCCTCGTCGCCGAGCATGCGCATTTGGGGATTAATGGTTACTTGTTGAATTCTTACAAAATATCGTGAGGCTACTATGATAACATAGTGGTAACAGATGGTAATACGTTATTTACATATTTCTATCTCATTGTATTTACATGGAACTGAAAAGAATACCATGGTAGATGATGTCCCCCGAGAAAAGGCAGTATGATCGCACTTTTTATTTTTTTTGCATTAGTAAACAGTAGTAAATATTTTATAACAATGCAAAACTTTGCATTTAATTGGATCTGGAGCTTCAAAAACCTTTTAAACCCTGTAAAAGTCTCTTTAAGGCATAACCACATTTATTTATACATTCATCTTATTTATAAACGCAAAATTGTTATTTTAGAAAGCTATGAGAAACTCCAATGGTTTGAAAATGCTAATTCAATTCAAGGTTTTGGGACAACAAACTCAACGGCTCTTTTTTTTTTGGTTTTGTGGACAAATACAGATTTGGCCTATGAATGTTTCCTTTTTCCTGAATTAATTTAAATGTGTGTGCGTGTGTGTGTATATATATATATAATAATTAATAATAATAATAATTTTATATATATATATATATATATATATATACACACACACACACACAAAGAAAAAGTTCAAATATACAATAGATCTCTCATGTTTAAGCTTTCTTGGTCTCTAAACACTTTTCATGTTTTGATGACTCGAGTATTATTACAAAATGTGTAGAAAGTTAAAAAACGAAGCATGTTGTAATTTAAGTAATGGAGTACACTTATATGTAGTAAACCAGCACTCTATTGGCAGTCATTTGATTTTGGGTTCCATTACCTTGTGTAAATGGCTAATGTTACCATGTTGTCTTTAGATTTGGTCAAATTGAGTCTGAAACTTGTCAAAAGGGGAATATTTTCACCTCCCCCCAGTTTTCAAGAGAGAGGTCAAACTCTTTCTTATTCTAATAGGGTCATCTGCCCTCTTTGTACCAAGATGCTGCTTAACAGCCCACCTTGGTGTCACAAAGGGATTGTGAAGCACTGCGATACTCTTGCCACACTATTGAACCTAATGCCTAGTATTTGCAATCAAGTTTGCAATCATTCTCGCTGCATTTAAAATAATATGGTAAATACACAATGCATCAAGGATGTAACCCATTTACACACAGAATCAGTGATAGAAATTCTCCCCTCTTTAACTCGATTACTGAAATGGTTGGTTGATATGTCAATGAAAAACATTAAAACCATATATTTCATGGATTATTTGGACACAGTCATACAGAAGCAGGCGGCCACAGTGATCCCATCAGGAAGGCACGTTTAATCAGATCTAATTACACACAAAAATAAAACACTCTTACAAAAAAAAATGAGTGTGTGTTACATTTAGCAAATTGCACTGGTCAGCTATTTAAGTTAAAAAGTGTTGCTAGTAAATCATGCTGTAAAGGAACGACCCACTCCATATGGAGGTCTGTTTAACTATACAAATAAAAAAATGTTAAGAGAAGACGAAGAGATCTGTGTGTGCACCAGATTTAAATGAAATATATAATCATTCAGTCCATAAAGAGTTTGGTAAATATATATTTTTTGCCTATTATATACAGCCATTATATAGTGTGTGTGTGCAAAATGTATTTTTTTCTTTCAAATCTAATTAAATTAAAGATAAATGACAGTCAGTGACCCACATATATGAACAATATTCTATAACTATCTGTCCAAAGGACTTTTTTTTATTTTATTTTTTTTCACGACCTTTCACACTCAAATTTATTAAAAAAAAATAACAAAAGATGTATAGCTCATATTCAGCGTATGCAAACTCTTAACAACAGTCCATGGTCATAGAGGATTGCTATAGACAGACAGCATCTCAGAAACATTCAATATATATATATATATATATATATTATATAAAACCGCATGTGTTTATTTATGCAGTTTCTTTTAATAATCTTGAAGGAACAGGTTTTCAAGATGTGCATTTCAGAGGCTTACAAAGAGCACATCAGACATGCTTTTGTTGTTTTCTGCTAGATTTACCCCTAAAGCTGATGTATTTCTATAAAAGACAGAATTGTTTCTTGTTCTTTAGTACAGTGATTCTTGCAGTTCGTCTGTAATGCTCACTGAAGGCCAGTGACATTTTTCATGGTAAAAATGTTCAGTAAATTGGTACTACAATGGGTTAATAATAAATTACAAAAATAAGAATACGGACACTACTCTCCCTTGATTTCCATGAGGGGTAAACGGTTACATTTCTTCTTTTATGAAATATAATGAGAAGGTATGAAATGGAAGACACTTCACATCTCATTAACATGCTCATACATATGCATCATATTTAAATCTTTTAAAGGGTTCGATTGACATCGGAGACAAATAAGAATACAGTTTACCAAAAAGTTGACACCAATAATGCAACATATTAAAATGTTTTTCTTCACAAGTTTACTTACAAAAAAAAAAAAAAAGATGGAATTTGAACATTCAAAGCAAGCCAATGCCAACCTCACTGATGCCTTTTCAATGGGCACAACTTCATTTTCTGCTCTGGAAACATCGGCAACGGTTCCTGTGACGATGCCAATATATTATATCTGTATAATTTTATTCTTTTTACCTCGTCCTCTCACGCCGTAAAAAAATAAAGCTAGACTACCTACCTACCTAAGAATTCATGTATTCGTTCGTTCACGTTCAACAGGCTTATAAATCAGTCTGCGGATGACACCAGTCTTGAGGAATGGAGCAGTCAAGATGGCGTCTGGTGTAGGGCAAGCCCAGAAGAGGCCAGTGGAGCCCAGTTCCTTGATCGAAAGGAAATTCATCTCGCGGCTTGCTGAAGTCCAAGTGGGCCGAAGATTAGCACCCTTTGCAAGTTCCAAATGACAAACTTAGTCTTTAGTTGACATTGGCTTCTTCCTCTCGTCTAGTCTTCGGTAAGGACAGTAGTGCTTCTGCGTTAGCTTATGCCTGAACGCTCTTGTTCTGTGTGCCCCGCTAAAGTTCGGCCTCTCCTAAAGTCTATAGTCTGTGAAAATGCTACACGAAATACTGTTAATATGTTGTCTTAATGCTAAAAATCATCTTATGGACTTTTTATAAAAAAAAACAAAAAAAAGAGGAAGGGGAGGTTCCAAAATAGTAAGTACAAGAGTTACTAGCAGCTGAAAAGATACGTTGTTTTCTTCTCTTCTTTTCAAATAATGCAGAAAGATCTGTATAGCAGCATCAGGCGTCGAGTGCTGCGGGATAATCCACCCTTCCTCAGCCTTTCCGTCTGAGCTCCTCGTGAGGCCCACACATCTGCCGGCTGACTGACAGGTCTGTCCCGCCTGGAGAAAGGTTCCTCTGCGAGCGCCGGCGGCGGACGATCATTCCACAGCGAAGCCGCAGGTCTCCTCGATGGCCGTCAGCAGTTTGTCGTAGAGTTTATCGTAGCTCTCGTATGGAGGAATGTCGATACGGTTGAAGCTGAGCCGCAATTGAAAAGAAATGAATAGTGGTGAATTAGTGCAGAAAATAGTTTGTACTAGTAATGGACTGATATATTGGTGAGACTGATTAATTGGCTAATATTTGACATTTGAGAATATGATCTTATTATTATTGTATAATGATAACAAAAATATTGTTTTCAAATATTTGTAATATTTATACACTACCATTCAAAAACTTGGGGTTGGTAAGACTATTTTTATTTTATTTTTTTTTAAAGTCACTTATGCTCATTTATTTAAAAAAAATACAGTAAAAACAGCCATATTGTGAAATATTACAATTTAAGAGGGCAGTTTTTTATATATATATATCGTGAGATGTAAGCTTAATATGTTTGTGGAAACTGTGAGAGTTTTTCAGAATTATTTTATGAATAGAAATGTCAAAAGAACAGCATTTAATTAAAACAAATCTTTTATAATATTATGTCTCTCTGTTGTCACTTTTAAATAATTTAATGTACATTTGCTGAATAAAAGTAATCATTTCATTAAAAAAATCTTACTGACCGCAAACTTTAAGGACAGTGTACATTTTAAATATTTCTATAATCTAATTAAAAGGAAATATAATAATTTAAAAAATCATAAAATGAAAAATATAAATGCAAAAATGCACCCACCTTCACATATTTATCATACAACGAAAAAAAAAATAAAAAAAAAATGCCAATACATATAAAGCAGCACTTGTAATTAATTTGCTTAATAATAGTATTCATTTCTTTTAAAATTTTAATGGTAGTGTGTAATATTTTAAATATAAATGCAAAAATGAAGTTTTCTTTAAATTGTACAATATCAGTCATATATTGTATATATACAGTATCTCACAGAAGTGAGTACACCCCTCACATTTTTGTAAATATTTTATTATATCTTTTCATGTGACAACACTGAAGAAATGACACTTTGCTACAATGGAAAGTAGTGAGTTTACAGCTTGTATAACAGTGTAAATTTGCTGTCCCCTCAAAATAACTCAACACACAGCCATTAATGTCTAAACCACTGGCCACAAAAGTGAGTACACCCCAAAGTGAAAATGTCCAAATT